GACCAATCTTCCAAGCAAGTTTCTTTATTGTTCCACACCTACAGACAGAATCTTGCCAAACTGAAGCAGGCGACTATCTACATCAAGCAGAGAACTATTAGAAAGAAGCTGTTTTCTCCCTCTTCTTTCATATAAACTGTCTAAACCGAGTTGCCTCTTGCTTTAGAACAGGGCTTTTCAACCTTTTCACCCATTGTACCACTTTTAGGATATGGCAACATCCGAGTACCACCAGTCGCCTAGCAAGGTGTCAAAAACTTGATGACCAAAAAAAAAAAAAAAGGAAAAAAAGTGATAAAAGTACAGGTAGTCCTCAACTTACAACAGTTCATTTAGTGACTGTTCGAAGTTACAATGGCACTGAAAAAAGTGCCCCCCAAGCCACAGCCGAGCAAGACGCCTGCCTGCCCGCCCGGCCACGCTCTTCCTCCTGTCCAAGGTTTCCATTGTTGTGAGCATTTCTGTTGAGGATTGGCAGCAGGGGTGGGGTGGGGGGGTGTTTGGTTTTTATTCCCCCCGTCTGCTGGGTGGTTGCACCAGGTTTTGGTCACTTCACATGACTCTGGGACACTGTGACCGTCATAAATATGAATCAGTTGCCAAGCATCTGAATGTAAATCACAAGACCCTGGAGAGGCTGCAACATTCCAGCTGATCGGCGCTTCTTCTGGGCTCAGCAGAAGCCCCAGGATCAGTGCTGCTTTCCAGCTGATTGGTGCTTCTTCTGGGCTTGGCAAAAGTGCTAGGATCAGCACCGAGCTCCAGCTGGAAAGCGGCACTGATCCTGGCGCTTCCGCTGAGCCCTGACAGCCCTGCAGCTCCAGCCATCTCTTGCTCAGGCTTGTGCGGTGCTGCCACCGGTTCAGCTCATTCCCCTCCCCCGCTACCACTTTTCTAGGATGGTCGCGTACCACCTGCCAGGTGTCAATGTACCACAGGTGGTACCCGTACCACTGGTTGAAAAGCCCTGCTTTAGAACATACCCCCCCTAACCTCATGAGAATCCAGCCCACTACATTTTAGCACAGGTACTCTTTGATCATGATTACTCAGCGTTGATTTTTGGTTTGCAGGTGGAACGTTCTAGCAGTAAAAACTGGTGATCGTGCAGCCCCAGACAGCTTTTACATGTATGTATGTATGTATGTATGTATGTATGTATGTATGTATGTATCTATGTATGTATATGTATGGTCAGCCTTGTGATCTTCAGTATCACCAGCCATCTGATGAAATTATTACTCCCAGACGTTATGGCACATGGACCATCAACCATCTTTCAGATAACAATTATGAACCTTCCCGAAACTTCCAAATGTGTGGATTTCAGCTCCCAGAATCCCCAGTGTTTATACTGCTGGAAACTCCAGGATCTGAATTCCAGGTATCGGAAGGTTGTCAGATCACAAAAAGTTGCTATGCACTGTCAAATTACAAGACATTGCATCTCTGTGCAATTATACTTGTATTTTCTTCTTTGCTGAATCAACAGTGTCCTGGTGTACACTATACAACTATTGCAATGGCTGACCATGCCATATCTTTCTTTAATTACCAATGAAGATTCTAGTTCTTTGAAGAAATATTACACAAGCATTGGTAAGCAAATACTATCTATTTACTGGAAACAGTTTCCTATAAGATTTCCAAAAGAACCAGTGAAATTGCCTCTTCCATCGGGGAAAAAAAATGTAGGCTAGCCAAGAGTTCTTCTCTAGACTTGTGGGTAGGGGTGTACCTTTCACACAGAACCCCAAAATTTTCTCTTCAAATTTAATGACTAGATCCAAGTTTCTCTTGTTTAACACTTACCATGTGAGATTCTAGCTCTGCTATTTTTTCAGGAGATTCAGAGCCTGAATAATATATTCGGATCACGTGGTCTGTGCTTCCTGTTGCAATAAACATGCCACCTTAAAAAAAAAACATTGGGAGAAAAAGAAATTGAGAATTATCTTTAATATTTCAATCCCTGGAACAGTTCACACAGTCATGCCAGATTCCACAATACATTTTTCAAAGGAGCGACGCATTGGATGAATTTTAAGCCTTCTGTACATGGCTCTAAAACCTTTCCCTAAAATTACTGCATCTTTTATTACAATTTGAGAAAACTGGGGTCTGAAATGCAACCAACCAGCCTCGTGTTTAGAATGATGCTACCATGGAGCTAAAGAAAGCCACCTGCATACTTCATTAATTTGTTTTAAAAAGGGAAATAACAAGAGAACATATTATAGCAATTGTCTCCCTTAGCTTTCAAGAGAAGCATTCAAGGATGAAGATCCTTCTAAGATAGTTTTGCATATAAAGTAAACTGTTAGCAAAACCGGTTTTGTTCCAAAGCTGAATATAAATCCGATGCTTGTTTGTTTTACCTCAAGCTACAATTTCCATTTATAAATGTACAAAACTTACATAGTAAAATTTTTTAACCACAGAGCAGTTAGTGCAGGACTAAGAATCAGAATATTTATTTATTTTATTTATTTATAAAATGTATTGCTCCCCCACCTATCTTAACACAGGGTAACTCTGGGCAACTTACAGTTACATATATGGTTAAAACATAAAGAGTTAAAATCAGACATTGAAACCAAAGACACATGGGGAGGGCGAGGGTGGAATGGAGGAGAGGTGGGATATGTCAATCAACAACCTCCACTGTGCTGTTTTCGCACTGGGGCCCCACGTCTTTAGGCCTTTATGAAAAGATGGGAGGGTTGAGGCCAACCTCACATCAGAAGGCAAGAAGTATAGTATAGGGAGTACCTTGCTCAATAGTAGTAACTGTGAGAGGGACCTCGGAGTACTAGTGGACGATCACCTAAATATGAGCCAGCAGTGTGCTGCAGCTGCCAAAAAGGCCAACACAGTGCTAGGCTGCATTAACAGAGGGATAGAATCAAGATCACGTGAAGTGTTAATACCACTTTACAATGCCTTGGTAAGGCCACACCTGGAATACTGCATCCAGTTTTGGTCACCGCGATGTAAAAAAGATGCTGAGACTCTAGAAAGAGTACAGAGAAGAGCAACAAAGATGACTGGAGGCTAAAGCATATAAGGAAAGGCTGCTGGAATTGGGTACGTCCAGTTTAATGAAGAGAAAGAAGGACGAGGGGGGACATGATAGCAGTGTTCCAGTATCTCAGGGGCTGCCCCAAAGAAGAGGGAGTCAAGCTATTTTCCAAGGCGCCTGAAGGCAGGACAAGAAGCAACGGGTGGAAACTAATCAAGGAGAGAAGCAATCTAGAACTAAGGAGAAACTTCCTGACAGTTAGAACAATTAACCAGTGGAACAACCTGCCTCTAGAAGCGGTGAAAGCTCCAACACTGGAAGTTTTTAAGAAGAGACTGGACAGCCATTTGTCCGAAATGGTATAGGGTTTCCTGCCTGAGCAGGGGGGTGGACTAGATGATGACCTCCAAGGTCCCTTCCTACTTTACTACTACTACTACTACTACTACTACTACTACTACTACTACTACTACTACTACTACTACTATTATTTCCAGAAAGCAGGAGCAACAGCAGAGAAGGCCCTCCCCTCCTGGACCCCGCCACCTATGCCATGAAGGGATATTTCAATAACTAACTGCTTTACACGCATGTATAAATTATTGTCTCTGAACAAAAGTAAACTCATTTCCTAGTACAGTGGTGGCGAACCTATGGCACGGGTGCAATAGGCGGCACTCGGAGCCCTCTCTGTGGACACACGTGCCATTGCCCCAGCCTTCCCTCCCCCGTGACCCCCTCCTCACCAGCATCCCCCCTGAAGGAGAGTCGTCCCCGAGCGTGGCCCACGCGGAGCAGCGCAGCCAAGAACATGGCAGCCAGAGTAGACAAGACTCTGCCCTCATGCCCCATCGTGCACAGTTGATGCTGCGGGGTGCGGGCAGAGGGCATGGCCATGGCGCTGCTGGGCGATCTGCAGCGGGCCTTGGAGGCGGCGAGTGGCCCTGCGGGCAGGCGGGGCGGGGGCAGGGCCAGTTTTTGGGCACTCAGTCTCTAAAAGGTTCGCCATCACTGTCCTAGTAGCAAAATGCTTGCTGGATATTTTGGTCAGTGAAGAATGGAAACAGTTAGAAAGCTTTCCTGTGTATTCCAATGAAAAAAAATCTGTACAACGCTTTATTTTCTTTTTTTAAAAAAAAATAATTATTTCTGACATAAAGTTGCAAATTCCTATGTGATTTCTATTTATACGTACCAGAACTAAAAGATGAACAAGATATTTGAACGCCAGGTCTGGATCTCTCTGTAAATTTCACCGGCCGATCCCTGAAGTTATCAGACAACATTTCAATTAATTTATATTAGATAGTGCAGAGAGACTAAGCCTGGATTGAGAAACACTGCGTGAAACCAAAAACTCAAACAAACAAATGGTTTTTAATGCCAGCCAACTGAACTGGTTCCTTGTAAAGGCAGACATCAATTCCAATCCAAAAGTACATAAAGAGATAAACTGGGATCTTTTCATTTCCTCAAACAATGTTCTCCATTTCCATATTCTTCCAATTTATCCCAGAAAAATCCTGCATCCTTCAGACATCTGGGATTTTAACACCTATATGCCTTAGCCAGTAAATTCAGCCGAAAGGCTTATATGAGTTATTATCAGAAAGATCCAGGAGAATTCAGATTGTTTGTCCGTCTTCATCCTCAACTGATGCTACACTGAATTATAATGTACAGTTGTTTCTTCTTTGTATCTCTGTTCTGCATCATTTCTAGGGATTCTAATAAATGCTACTATCCCTCCTGAAATTTATACAGCATTGCTGCTCAATCGTAAAGGCTAACAGAATAAATTGAATAAAACGACGTACTTGAATTTCATTGTGTTTACATGCCATTGCCAGAAACAAATTGTTCCATCAGCACCAGTAGAAGTGAGGTATCGAGTTGTTCCTTTTCTTGCAGGGGAAAACTAAAAATCAAAAGAGCGAAAGTTCCAATAAACAGGCAAAATACTTTTTTTCATATCTATCTACCGGTATATAAATAAAAATGTAAACGTTCGTTTGTTCAAAATCTTTAATCTCCGAAAGTTCTTCACCGATTGCTTTGAAATTTTGACACAACGGTGCATTCGAATACGCGTGTGTTTTTATATACCTACTATTATATAGATGTCACACCTGTGACAGGTAAAAACATGCTTTTTTTGAAAAACAGCGCCATCTGTTGGACATAAAAGCATACCCACAAGCATTGTGAAATTAAACATATTACAAACGTGCGCTTTCTCTTTTCTTTCTTTTCCATTTAACCAGACTGAGCCACAGCAACGCGTGGCCGGGCACAGCTAGTACTTCTATAAAAATGTTAACAGCCACCCTCTGCTACACAAAAAAATTACTGTGCACACGATTTCGATATGGGCCGTATTCACTTTCTATTAAGAAAACTGACAGATCAGACAAGAATATTCAAAGAGCAAGTGATCTGACGAAGTCAAACATTGTTTGGAAATTACTAGCCCAGATATAGCAAGGAAATGCAGTTTTAATTCTCGCTGTTTAGCAAAACGTTTTACTTCTCGCTGTTTAGCAAAAAGTAAAGGCACGGCAAAAGCAGAGGAAACCCTGTCTTCCCTTACCTGTATGGAAGTAATGGAAGCCGAGTGGCCCAACAGCACCGCCACTGGCGCACAAGTTCGAAGACACCAGACTCTGACTACCTTGTCACAACTGCCTGCCGCAAGGAGGGTGTTCTCATAACTGACAGCCATGTCAGAAATTTCAGCCGAATGTCCTCGGAGGGTTGAAAGCAAGCGTCCGTTATCTGCAGCCCAAATTTTCACCAAGCAATCATCTGAACCCTAATGTTTCATACAAAAAACAACAACAACCAAAAAAAAAAAAGAGTTGGAAGGGATCTTGGAGGTCTTCCAGTCCAGGGGCCCCCAACATTTCGGGCACCAGGGATCGGTTCCGTGGAGAGAGGTTTTTCCACGGACCGGAGGAGGTGTGGTTTTGTGTGCTGCCTGCATTCCGCGGATGGGGCTTCCGTGGATGGGGCTAAAGCATATAAGGAATGGCTGCTGGAATTGGGTATGTCTAGTTTAATGAAGAGAAGGACGAGGGGGGACATGATAGCAGTGTTCCAGTATCTCAGGGGCTGCCATAAAGAAGAGGGAGTCAAGCTATTTTCCAAAGCGCCTGGAGGCAGGACAAGAAGCAATGGGTGGAAACTGATCAAGGAGAGAAGCAACTTAGAACTAAGGAGAAACTTCCTGACAGTGAGAACAATTAACCAGTGGAACAACCTGCCTCCAGAAGCGGTGAATTCTCCAACACTGGAAGTTTTTAAGAAGATACTGGACAGCCATTTGCCCGAAATGGTATAGGGTTTCCTGCCTGAGCAGGGGGTTGGACTAGATGACCTCCAAGGTCCCTTCCAAGTTTATTATTACTATTACTATTACTATTACTATTATTATTATTATTATTAATATTTGTTTGTTTGTGCAGTCCGGTTGCTGGCATGCTGTGGCCCGGTACCGGTCCACGGACAGGGGGTTTCTAGTCCAACCCCCTGCTCAAGCAGGAAACCCTATACCATTTCAGATCATTTCAAACCCCAAAGTCTAGCATGCAGAAAAATACCACTCTTTCCCCTAAGACTCTATATCAGGGGTAGTCAATCTTGGCTCTTTTATGACTCGTGGACTTCAACTCCCAGAATTCCTGAGCCAGCTAAGCTGGGAATTCTGGGAATTGAAGTCCACGAGTCATAAAAGAGCCAAGGTTGACTACCCCTGCTCTATATGGTAGAGTTTCTCAATTTTGGCAACAGTAACTAACAAATAAATAACGTTTATTTGTAGGATTCAGCAGTTGAAACATTTTCATGGAAGTTGCTTTCTGAAGCCAATAATAATGATACAATAATACCACCCAGTTTCAGAAAACGTATTTTACCAATTCAATATAAAACCCACAATACAAGAAGCTATTAAAAAAAAAAGAGAGCATAGCAAAATTATTCAACGTTATGGAATATTTCAGTTCCATTCCACTCACAGTGAAAATTCGTCTCCCGGTACGATCAAATGCTATACAATACACAGATGATAAATGACCCAGAATTCTCTTGTGCATCTTGATGTGTTGATAAAAAGACGTTGGGAACAAATGGCTGAAACGCCCATATCCAGTCAACTGTCTGGCTCCTATTAGGTTCACTGCCAAAAGGAGGAAAAAAATGCTGTTATCCTTCTGATTATACTTTTTTTTAATCGGCCTCATTTTAATGATCTATTCCTGTCCACCAGTAAAAGACAGTATTATCATGGGTAAGAATTAGCACTGAGTTAAGTATCTGCTCTATGAATATTTTGGGAAAAAGGTGACATAGGAAAAAATATATATAATTATCTTTGGCGATTTCCAAAGTGGAACTATCTCAAACTTTTGCCACTGCTTTAACAAATGATGAAAGGCCAATTTAGAATGGGACAGCCCAATGACACACCACCAATTTAGGGAGTTATCCAGACAGGAAAACATGCCTAATGTGGACCTTCTCTGTGTTTGTTTCTCAAACAGTCACAGTAATGTTTATTCGCTCAACGATCGGCAAATTATTTGAGCTTGAGTTTGGGTATCTAGCTGAAGTTACAATGAAGCACTGTCCTAATTTAGTCATTCTGTTCCTGGTTGCATTCCTAAAATTATGATGGATCCTTTTAGCTTAAAATAGCAGCCATGCTTTTGTTATTATGGGAGTAGAGAAAAAGAAATCTCTTCTATTTTAGCTTTGCAACAGTAGGCCACCATTTCCAAACTGACCCACGGAACGGTTGCTTAACTGTGGTTAAGGTACCAAGCTAGAAAACCAGAGGTTTTGAGTACAAGTCCCGCCTTAGCCACGAAAGCCAGCTGGGTGACTTTGGGCCAGTCCCTCTCTCTCTCTCAATCCAACCCACCTCACAGGGATGTTGTTGTGTGGAAAATAGATGGAGGAGGCTACACTGGATAGGTTCGCTGCCTTGAGTTATTTGTAAAAACAATAAAGGCAGGATACAGATAAATAGCAATAGCACTTAGACCAGTGGTTCTCAACCTATGGGTCGCGACCCCATTTGGGGTCGATCGACCATTTCACGGGGGTCGCCAAGCAAGGCTGTCCGCCATTTTTTTCCCCTTTTCCGGCGGGTGCCTTACCTCCCTTGAGCTGGGCCAGCTGGTGGTCGGCCTGCTCCATCTCTGCCGCTTGCCAGCTACGCCTTGGCCGGCGCAGGGGGCGGAACCACACATGCATGGCGCTCCCGGGCAGGGAAAGTCCTCGACTTATGACCGGTTGGGTAGTCCTCGACTTACGACCGGTTTAGTCCTCGACTTACGACCGGTTGGGGGTCGCGGCATTAAAAAGGTTGAGAACCACTGACTTAGACTTCTTTACTGCTTCACGGGGCTTCCCAGCCCTCTCTAAGCAGTTTACAGAGTCAGCCTCTTGCCCCCAACAATCTGGGTCCTCATTTTACCCACCTCGGAAGGATGGAAGGCTGAGTCAACCTTGAGCCTGATCAGGATTGAACTCCTGTCAGTGGGCAGAGTCAGCCTGCAATATTGCATTCTAACCACTGAGCCACCAAGGCTTTCTTCCTTCTTCTCATTTTCCTTCCTTCCTTCCTTCCTTCCTTCCTTCCTTCCTTCCGTCCCTCCCTCCCTCCCTCCCTTCCCAAGCAATAGCACTTAGGCTTCTTTACTGCTTCACAGGGTTTCCCAGCCCTCTTTAAGCAGTTTACAGAGTCAGCCTCTTGCCCCCAACAATCTGGGTCCTCATTTTACCGACCTCAGAAGGATGGAAGGCTGAGTCAACCTTAAACCGGTGAGAATCGAACCGCCAAACTGCAGGCAGCCAAAGTAGCCCGCAGTGCTGCATTCTAATCGCTGAGCCACCACAGCTCATAAACATTGGGATACATATAACATTAGTGCATAACAAAATGATTCCTTACCCACGTTTGGTGGCTTCCAGGAGTTTATGGGGACTTCGGGAGGTCTGCCCCGATGCAGCGCTGCAAACGCGGACCCCTTCCAGGCTGTGTGCCTGCATTCTGTGCAAACGGGAGTCAGAGCGGATCAAAAGCCTGACCTGAGGCCTCTGCGGTTCCAGTTATTATTATTATTTTCCTGCTCAAAACTATCAACGTCGGTATCCCCTTTCTGCTCCTTCCCATCCCTTCCTTCTCTGCCAAGCAGTTTGCAGCAAAGGGTTTTTTAGTTACTGTTTCAACAACAAGACATGGCACAAAATCCTGGCAGGAAAATCCGTGTTTCCAAAAGCCCCTTTAAACAAAGCTTTTAAGGTTTTTAATTGACTCGTTTTAGTTACGCTGCTATTAACTAAGAGGGGTGTAGTTAAAAACAACAACAACAACAAACGCTTCAACTGTTGGTCTGGGGTTGGTTCTCTTGTACGTGGATGTTGGCTCTGGGTCGCCTTCCTCGCCTCTGCAAGGGGGAATAGAAATAAAAGAACAGTGTCTCACCTTTGGCTGCCCTTAGTAAAGACTGCCGTCCCACTCCTAGTAAAGTCTGCACTCCGAGTACGCTTTGAGGGATCTCCTTATCCAACAGAGGTCCAATTCGCTCACAGATTTTGAGGAGGTAATCCGGGGGGATGTGAGCATTGGCTGCTACCTGAACGTTTTAAAACAAAAACAAAAGCAAAAAAAACATGAGCAGGCGTTGTTTACATCCAATCTTAATAATAATAATAATAATAATAATAATAATAATAATAATAATAATAATAATAATAATAATAATAATAATAATAATAATAATAATAATAATAATAATAATAATAATAATAAAGTTGGAAGGGACCTTGGAGGTCATCGAGTCCAACCCCCTGCTCAGGTAGAAACCCTGCACCATTTCAGACAAATGGCTGTCCAGTCTCTTCTTAAAAACTTCCAGTGTTGGAGCATTCACAGCTTCTGGAGGCAGGTTGTTCCATTGGTTAATTGTTCTAACTGTCAGGAAGTTTCTCCTTAGTTCTAGGTTGCTTCTCTCCTTGATTAGTTTCCACCCGTTGCTTCTTGTCCTGCCTTCAGGCGCTTTGGAGAATAGTTTGGCTCCCTCTTCTTTGTAGCCATCCTTGAGATATTAAACGCTGCTATCGTGTCACCTCTTGTCCTTCTTTTCATTAAACTAGGCCAGGGGTAGGCAACCTTGGCTCTTTTATGACTCGTGGACTTCAACTCCCAGAATTCCTGAGCCAGCCATGCTGAGGGGAAAGGGAGAGGTTTCCAAGCTGAGCCATGCTGGCTCAGGAATTCTGGGAGTTGAAGTCCACGAGTCATAAAAGAGCCAAGGTTGCCTACCCCTGAACTAGGCATACCCAATTCCAGCAATATCAGAAAAACTGGAGATCTAAATGCCCTGAGTAATGCTTACTAAGAGGTCCAGTTTCCCAGAATAGCCAAACACAGTGCTCTACAAAACCCATAAGCGTGAAAAGAAGAAACCTTAAATCTAAGAACTGAGGAGCAGAGACGTGTCAGTCTACCCCTGACAACACATTTAACTATTATTTTAATTACAGGTTAGAAAATAAACTCTGATTCATGCAACATGCTACTCTATAAAGCATGGTTTATATACTTCCATATAGCTGTTTCCCACATTTCATTTAGCCAAAATCAAAGAGGACCCATTAAGCAAAATGCATTAATTCAGATGCTATCTGAATTGAGAAGCTTGCTCTAGCAATGAAAACTAAGAATGATTAAGTTTGCCTATGCCTGTTTCACAGTAATTTCACCTAGGGATTATTGCCATATTTTGGGAAGAAGAATACCATTTGTTAATTACATTTATACAGCTATAAACATTAAGAAAAATACTTGGGTTTTTTAAATTTTTTAATTAAATTGTCAGAGAATACTGCCTTAGCAGGTCAGAAATAAGCACAATTCAATCACTGTTAGAAAAACCAACACCAGTTGCTCAATGTAATGGATGTAACATTGCAACTGGGCTACCTAATGAACTGTACAGCATAAAAACATAATCAGTTTTCACCCTTAGAATGTTTTGCAGAATAAACTCCTAAACACACAATCTCAAAATGTTCCCTGCATTTTGGAAAAATAGATTTGGATTTGACCAGTCCCGGGTCATATGGACAACACTGAACTGAATATCACACTGGTCGTGATAGATGCGCAGATGCTCTCTATAAATGGGACAAAATACCATCACCACATTGCGATTGTGGGGCTGAAAAACAAACTATCTAACACACAGTGACAAGAGCGTCAAAACAGAGCCTATAATGGAGATTTCGCTGATTTCCTGACTGCAACGAAGGAAGTAAAAAAATTATATTTGCAGCTTAGATGTACGTTTGCAATCTTCCTGTTAAAAGAGTTCAGATTTTATATTCTGTGCTTTGTATTTTAGCCCCGTGCTGCTTTTTACTGAAATATGAATAAATAAATAAATAAAAATAAATAAATAAATAAATAAGCAAGCTCCTAAACAGACTAGGACAGTCAGAGGTTATAGATGCAATTGATTTGTAAATTAAGAACTATTTGATGCTGGCAGACAGGTGTTAATGGAGGGACTTTAAGATAGTTGGAGAGTTGGAGGTGGCAAAGTATCTTTTGCTAAAGGCAGGGGGGGTTAACAAAACAATGAAGCCCCTTTGTGTTGTAAAAACAGCTGCAACCACAAAGAAGGGGACGGACATTTTCACACCTCTTAGGAACAGTGTCCTTTATTATTCAGCTGGTGACCAGAGTGTATAGCACAGTGCCCTCTCAGGCCGTCTACATTTTCATAAGCAATGCCCCATCATTGCTTTATGGCAGTTTTATTCCTAATTTAACTGAGCTGGGAAGCAGGCAGGCACGTACAGTGAATTGGATCTGCTTTTTGGCGGTCAACTTGTTCAGACTCAAAAGTTACTCTGTTTGTCAAGGTTTTTTAGATTATAAAATGGAAGTGTGGATGGAATTGGGGGGTGACATTTTAACTCCCATTTGCAACAGCTAGCATGCCGGTAATGTGGACTTTGGGAATGTTAATACAAGCCAGGAAAAGAAACACACACAAAGGCATCATGAGAAGTCACACTGAAGAATAACACTATGTACTTTTCCAAGTAGTTTCTTGTGCTTAATGGGACTCCCTCATAGCTACATGTATCGAGGGCTACAGTCCTAAAAGCTATAATTCATCTCTAAGATGTATTCAAAATCATTTCAGTCTTAGCTGATTAAAACAAGAATAAAGATAAGCAGTTCTCAGTAGGAGGAAAAAACCCTGCAATTCTTTATGCATTTTCACAAATCTTAGTCTTTATCTTCAAACTATGTTAGCTTATTTCAATTATTTAATACTGGTATGACATATTAAAACAGACAGGGTAAAGAGGAAAGGAGTATCCATTACAATTAAACAAATCAAGTTTTAAATAAGGTTCCATCTTCCTATTCACACAGATTATTTCTTAGGAACTGTATCCATTATTATTCCAACTTTTCCCCTATTTAAACAGCAGTAATGTCAAAAGAAAACTACCATAAACACGCTGGAAACCTCCCAAAACTCAAAAAAAAATGCAAATTGATATTGGCTTTCTAAGAAATTATGAGTTGCAGGGCAAAACTGGGATTATTCTGAGTGACTAAGTAATTTCACTCTGCTCTCCACTGTATTTACTCTTTGAGATAAAAGGAAATTACTTCATAGAAGGCATATCTTCTAGCCTATGACAATAAAACTGAAAGTTAAAGAGTATAAATGTAAATATTTTTCTAAGGAAAATCAACACTGAAAATTGCAAAATCTCTAATCCAGCTCACAAACATTCCTCAGGAGGATTTTTAGTAGGTTAGCTTACCGTTGATCTGAACTTATAAATGCCTGCACTCAAAATACAAAAATTCTGTTTTTTGAACTAGTTCCTTACAAGTGTTCTAAACAAGCCAACGCTATGGAATCAACGTAGACAGACGATGTGCCAACAGTATCTAGAAAAGTTTGCTACTACTTTCTCCTACTCTCAGGTGTTGCCAATTTATATAAAAGTACCTGATATACTGAAATAACCATTCATACTACAAAAAAAAGGAAGGTTAGTATTGTGTAGCGTTTAAGGTGCCAGGCTAGAAATTAGGAGACCATGAGTTCTAGTCCTGCTTTAAGCCCAAAGCCAGCTGGATGACCTTGGGTCAGTCCCTATCTCTCAGCCTTGGGAAACCATTTCTGAAAAACCTTGCCAAGAAAACTTCCGGGACTTGTCTAGGAAATTTCTAAGTTTCAACACTGACTTGGAAGACACACACACTACCAAAAAGCTACAATAGAAGGTATGTTTGAACTGAAGTGACCATAACATGCAAGCGTAAACAACTTTGGTATGTTGATTATGTCGTATCAAATATGGTAATTCACCTACTGTGCAACTGATTTTCAAATCAGAGCTGAAAAGGTGATCCCACATACTTTGCGTCTAGCAAAATTAATTTGCACCAATGCATTAGTGGTCTACGTTCAGAAAATAGCTGCCTCTGAACCCCCATTTCTGCATTATTCTTTTATCAGAATAAAGAGCTATAATGAACATGTTCCGCGAAAACTTCCTATCAAAGACATTTATTTTTTTGCTATTTACTGTTTTGTATAAATTGGGGTAACAGCTCTTTTATTTCACAAGGAAATACAGGAATTTTCTTCATTTAAAATTATATACATGTTCTTCACCTCCGCAAGCAAAATATAATGGTTATGTTTAAAAATTCATTTACATTTACATTTTGGCATCTGGGCCCTAAACATACTAAATGGAGTAAATGTCATCGACTCTCAATAGTTTTTTTCTTTCTAACAGGACAAGAGAAAAGGGATAACATATTTTCTTACTAATGTAGAAAGATGAAGGAGGAAAAAAAACACCTCCTTCCCTTACTTCCTGTACTGAAAGGTACAACCAATCAGCTGGCACCTCTCATCACCCACAAGGAAGTCCTATCTAATAGACGCAGCACTATTGGTCT